GGAACAGTAGCACTGCCGTTGCTTTTGCTTGTCAAGGCTAAATAGAGTTTACAAAGAGAGACAACCTCAGAGAGTGTAACCGAGCTGACAATAACTGGATTCCAGCTCGTGCATTTTCAGCAAGCTCTCTGGAAGGAGCTTTAACCTGTCTCCAAAAGGCAATAAATGAAAGGTTCAGCTCTTAAAATTGGAGGTCAGTTACATACTTAATGATGAAGCGTATCTTTAAATCTATTTCTACTATTATTATCCTAGCAAAAAATTAATTAACCAGGTCAGGGAGGCTATGAAGGCTAATGTGGAATGTAATTATTCCTGATCTTTAGACATGTACTTCACATAAAGAGATAGTCCTTATTCAGCTCACCAGGTACCTCAATTGTCAGTAGTTAATCATGGATAAGAWGAGAGACTCATTGGTTCAGTCTCTTAAGTTTTACTTATGATTCAAATGATTCCTATTCAAAGGCAGTTTAAATAGTTGTAATTTTATGTTACTGTTCTTTTGTCTGTTTACCATCACAGTAATCACGTTCGCTCTGTTTGAGGGAAACAGAAAATGTAAGAACATTTATATGAAAGTAGAACAGCATGAATGTATAGATTAAAACTAGGAAAAAATTACCATTAGGGATAATTTCTAGTGGCTGAATTAAAACAGAATACTTATGAGAGCAGAGGAAACCACTTTCTCTATGCAATGGAAATTGTACTGATTCAAACAGAAAAAATACTCTGCAATGGAGCATTRTAAAGAGGAATAAGGTGAAGGGAAATGGACAAAAGCAGCTCGGATTATCTTTCACAGTTATCACAGATTTTTTGCAGAAAAGCTCAGCCATTACTGCCCATTTTAGAGATTTCAGCCACAATTTAGGATTTGTCCTAATGAAACCTGCCCACAAGAGGAGGGAAGCCCTAAAAACTTTCATCCCTTAAATTCACACACACACACACACACACACACACACACACACAAACACATTCTCAGAGAAAAATCCTAGAGCAACAGCTCCAAGCATCAGTGGGATCTGCCTCTTTTCCTCAGATGGGCATGGTGGGGCTCAGAAGTCCCCAAGCCTCATTCTGAAAGGACTGAATTCTGGTAATTCAGGTAATTCACAGGGGTTTCAGGACCTCTAGTTTGGAACCATTCAAGGAATGCATGTCTTCCCTTGTGCACTTCCCTAAGTCTAGTCTTATCTTCATGATGTACTCCCAAATTCCTCCTTTAACCCGCTTTTTCACTTACTCCTAGAGATTTTCACTTTCATAGCACAGCCTAAGAGATGTCCTTGAAATAGTCCAATTCTGTTCTACTTTAGAATTATTTTTTTTTATTTTAAAAACATTATTTAAAAAAAAATCTCTTAATCAATCTGGAGACTGGCCTGTGAGCTCTTATTTGACCCACATTATTTTCTGAACTTTCATTTTCACTGAAAGCAATGATTTCTCTGCACAGCTCTGCAAAATGAAGAACTTAATTTGGCATACTAGATTTACTCCCATCTCTGTGGACTCTGTAGAAGTATGTTTATGAACATTATGAACATTTGAGCTAAAAAGTAATAATACACTGCATTTATTTGAAAATTTTCATTTAAGATTCTCAAAACATTACTTTTGAATTGAGGAAAAGGAAATGATTTGCCAAATTTCTGATAATCAGATACAGGACTGAGAGGTCCAGATTCCTACTCTCTTTAGCCAACAAAACTGCCTTTCCCAACACATATACCCTGAAGCTGCAAGTGTAGAAAACATGTAGAAAATATGAGAATATTATGCAGAACATTTAATGACCTCTGTTCTCTTGAAATATCTCTCTTGTTTTCATACACTAAGCCTAGCTAAAGTGCTTTTTGTTCATAGATAATTGACAAAGTTATGGATGCATAACAAGGTGCTCCAGTAAATGGTGTGAAATAAAACATACAAAAAAAAAAAAGCCCTTTCACCAATCAAATTAAATAAGGTGTTGAAATGATCAAGTAAACAGATAATAAATATTAAATAATGAAAATTCTTAGTAAATTCTTAGTTGTCAAAGGGAAGTGTAGTTTATGTAATATAAATTATTTTAACTTTTGTATGTGATTGACATAAATCTTTTAATCCCCATCTAAAGCAACTTCTAATTGTTTAAATGGCTAAACTGGGTACACTCACAGAATTCACAGAAATGCTTTTTCAAGAATTAACATTGCAGCTCAGGAGATGAGAGCTGATACACTGTCTCAGGATGGAAACCTTGCCACCAGCAATGCCCCTCTCTGACATCCTGGAGAACACGCTGTACTGCTTGGAGTGCCTGTGCCACAAATGTGACCCTGCCCTGGTGGAACTGGCACCGGTGCTGCTCACATTTTGTAATCCCTTCAAAAGGGGAGTGGCAGCGAAGGGCACTATTGTTTTCCCACGAATACAGAGCCCAGATAACAGCCCACACCATTCTTTGCAGGTAATCGCTGTTTCCTGGAAATGGTTGCTCAAGAATGTCTTTAGGCAAGCCTTCTAAATGAAATCAGGTTGTTGGGGACAGAGTTGCAAACGCTACCAAGCCCAAAAACGAAACTGAGAATGTAAACATTTAATAGAAATGTTGTTTCTCCTTCCAGGCATAGCACGATTCACCTCATCTCATATCAGATCTCTACACTAAAGGCACTGGTATGCATATCCTTCTTAGTCAATGGGGAGAAACAGCCATTTTAGGGAACAATTTATCTGATATATTTTAAATCTCTACTTTAGGACAAGATAAATTGCATTCCTAAACTATTCACTTTGCTTCTCTCTGCTCACTACAAGAACAATCTGGATAATTAAGTGAAGCAGAGTCTGCACTGAAATGACTTATTTTTGATACGATTAATCCCACTCAGAGTCACCAGTGTGACTTCAGTACTGGTTCTGAGGTTTCTTGGGGAGATGGTGGGAAAGGATCTGGGAGAACCAGCACAGCACCACTCCTCTCATCTTCCTCCTGTTTTGCCTCCATCCCAGCTGCAGATCTTAAGGAACTGCACCTCTCAAACTGCAACACTCCCAGCCAATTCTACAGCAGCAAAAGAACACCAGCTGCAGATGCAACTTAGCAACTTCACTCTGAACCAACTTCTGGCTGCCAAATCTGCCCCAAAATTAAATCAGAACAAATAAACGAAGCAGAACTGCTTGGCTCACAAGCAAATGGACCATGTAAGCTGCTGTTTAGCCTCGTAGACAATCTCCCAGGAAAGTTTCTTTCTGTAATCTCCCTGTAAGACCACTGGATGTTTGAGTTGCCCACCGTGCCTAGTGCTTCATACTGGAGCCTAGGGTTCCTTGGGCATTGACATGCCCGTTACCAACCTGGCTGACCAGCAGGAAGAAGAAACAGTCCTCACTGCCTCAAATATACTGATTAGACTCATGCAAATATAAAAATCATAGATAAATGAAGAGGCCAAACTACTGAGAATATGGCATAAGACATTGGCAAGGCTCTGGAAGACAAAATACAGGGAAGGGTCACCAAGAAGTAATTTACCTCACACAAACAGGATAACTATTGAAACACTTCCTTGCATATACATCTAGGAAAGGAAGGGAAAGAACACTTGTGGAGGGTTCAGCACTGTGTAAGAGGAAAGAGGGAAGTGAATGAGAAAATGAACCTGCAACCTATAGCAAAATTAATTCTGAGACCACTTTTCCCTGGAGACAGTGGAAGGGTAAAGCTACTGGAAAGTATTGACTGAAGTACCTTTGAACTTTGTACTACAGAGAAGATACTCCCCTGCAAAACATACCCACAGTTCTCCAAAGAGAAACAAAAAATACCTAGTCATAATTCCTCTGTTTTCTAATTTTTAAATGAACTTTAAATATTAGAAATTTCTCATACTGATAACCATTCTGTTTTGTAGACTTAGCTAGATTTCAGTCTTAGCTTTCATACCAAGTAATTTTTTTTTTAAATTTTATTCTTTGCTTTCTGAGCCAGACTTACATAGAACAATTAGAGAAGATGGTCTATTTTTTTTTCATTTCACTATTCTTACATCTCTTCCACCCTTGATGTACACCTAATATCAACATACAATCCTCTAACAGGCAACAATAATGGTGCTTTACAATTCAATTGTGTCTCTCATACAAGGTATTAACACATCTATATTTGTTAAATAAAGTCCTTAAAAGTGTAACTGAAAGTGCATAACAACATTTTCAAAAGCATTTATGAGCATTCCTTTGGGACAAGGGAAAGAAACTTCAATTTTGGCATCTAGTAACCCAGCAATCAGCTAATTAAGGAAAAGAAATGGATAGCCCAAGCTTATAAGAAATGATTGGCAGCACAATCATCTGTCAGACCAAACTGAAATATTTAAATCAGTGAACAGGCCTGTGGAAATGCTTTCAAAGTGGGAAGCAGAGAAGGTAATACAATCACATGCCAACAATGCCTCTACATCCATGTCACTCCCTACCCACATATACTTGCACAAAATTAAACCACGTTCTGAGTACAAGCACAAATATTTAAATATCTCCAAAATACTTCCACATCCACAAGGGCATAATTATTCCAGAGGCACCTGGAACATGTGTACCTGTGGGTCTTTGCACATGAGCACACTGCTGTCAAGGCCTTGGAACTGTTGCAATGTCTCAATTTTGCCTTTGCAGAGTGAGGAATTCCTCCAACAGTGATTGAGGCTCTGCTTTTACTTCACACAATACAAGTCCAACTGATTGCAGACTTCAGAATTATGACAAGATGGCGAGATTTAAAAATACTTCATAACTTTCAGAAGAAAACTTTGCCTACTGAAGTTCCTTGAACCAAAAAAAGATGTCTGACAATAATTTTCTGGAACACAAGGAACTCCCATAAAGAGCATCTTTAGTGAGGCTTGTTAGTAAAGCAYGTGGCTGCTTTATTTTAGACCCTTCCCTCTCCATAAATGGAACTTAAGCATAATCAGAAGAGAGCAATAAAATACACTGACCTGAATTTGCTGCTGCAGTAGATTGATTTTGTGCTGCTGTTGCAGAAGTTGCTGCTGTTGTCTTGCAATCTATTAGAAATAAAATTTCCATTAAATTTAAAAGTTAATATTGAAATTTCAATACTATTGACTGCAAAACATGTTTGTTATTCTTTATTATATTTTTATTAAGCATATTAATTTGTTTAATGTGTATTTTAGAGGTAAACTTAAATGTTACATAAAAATCTAGTTAACAAGTAAGAAATATGTATTTTAAGCAGAGGCCTTAACTCTGAAAAGCACAGAAACGTAGATTTATTTTTGTGTAGATGAATAATCTCATCACTATTCAACAAAACATTTCAGCCTGTGGTGATCTTTAACTATGATGCATTACTGTCAACCACAATGGGAATGAAACACACGCTTCAAATTGAGTGCTTCTCTGAATGGGGATGGGATTACGCAGGTGCTTAAGGTTAAACATACATTTTCCTGCTTTGCTGAACTGGAGCCTTAGCTGGTGTTTATAGATGGTTCACTATTCAGCACAAGCTCCCAGGGTAAGCTTCTTAGACCTCCTTTGCAATGAGCAGCACATTGCATCTCTTGTGAATCTCAAAAATCATCCTTGGAGCTGCTTAGGGAAGCAGAGCCTTATTCTGGGTAAAAGCAGTACCTGGTGCTCAGTAACTCATCCTCTCTGAAATACATGGATATCCTTGCCCTCATCTGGTAGATTCAGTAAGGAATCTGAAGAGTAAAGGTTCACTCTATCCCTTCTCTAACACAGATGGAGAAAAGCAAATGTTCAGGGCAGGGAACACCAGGAGTCTGGTGACAATTTGCCACAGCTATTCCATCTACCTCCCTGATTCCCACAAAACCAGCACGCCAGAGCAGAAGGGAAATGGGACCCTGCCCTCAGACCACAGAGCTGCTCCCTGCAAGGGGTGATGGGGACAGCAGCCACGGGGGAGAAGCCACAGGGATCTGGGGGAACAACTGGAGTTCTTCAGAAGGGTAACTGTGCAGCAGACTGAAACAAGGACAAGATTTGTGTTTCCTGGAGAGCCCAGCCTCAGCACTTCTGCTACCTTCATTTCTTAAGTATAATTTCCCCTCCTATAAATATTTATCCAGGGCAGAGGAATCACATAAAACAGCAAGAAGTTGGTGACAAAGGTATTTTGGTCACTCAAATTCACTGTTTCTGTTTTTGGCAAAAAACCTCCTGGTCTCCTTCCCCAACATCTTCTGAGCACACTTACTTTGTTATAAACAGAGAAAGCTAAGTAAAATGTTTTTATGATAAAAAAATTACAGGAATGTATCAAGGTTGGTTTAGAAATAAACAATCACATAGTTCTAGTGAAAACTGTTCAGATTAACTCATAAGGAATTTGTAGTCACATATTAACAGCCTGTAATTGTCCACACACGGAGACCAAGGCTGTTATTTCCTCAATGTCTTTCTGTCACGTGGAAATAACTCTGAGGTTTTTTCAGTTAAAATTCACTTTTGTAAAAGAAACCAATACAAAATTCATACATATTTTAAGTCTTACACATGGCTTCAAGAAAACAAATTAAGGTCTACATGATTCTGGGGCTGGATGAAGGCAAAGCACTACAAGAAAGTGGAGTCAAGCAACTCTCACAGATCACAACGTTGATGTTTGTAACAGGGCTCAAACTCCTTTTAGGAGCCTGATGTTCAAATATTCCCAGACGAACCTCCCAGTCCAATCAATAAAATACAATGAGTGAGGGCAGAAGGGGCAGACCCTTGTGTGTGAGTGGAAAAGGGAATTCAAGCAGAGTCCATATGCCCAGGTAGACCAGGGGCAGGTTCAAGGACCTGAGGTATCTTCTGTCAGCACAGCAGCCAGCAGTGGGGTCCATGCTTGGTGAAACAACCCTAAAGGGGACTGAGCTATACAGAGAATTTAAAGCCTGTATGAGAGCTGGAGTTACCATTTTTAATGAGCACCACAGCAATTATGTGCCTCCAGCTCAGAAATGTTGTGCTTGTAACTAAAGACAAGGTTTGTGTGTCCTCATTGCCCTCCCTGCTAGTCTCAGCAAAGGTAAACGATGACCCCAACATGCAGCCCCACAGCAAAATGAGACTGAGCACGGAGCTGCATGGTGGGCTGTTCTTCCTCAGTGCTCTGTCATTTTTTCACAGTGCCCTATGCCCAGAACTGTTTAAAGCTGCTGGTGACCTGGCAGCAGCTTAACATGGCAAACTACAGCCAAGACAAGGAGATTTCTGTTTACACGTGCAAAGGCACTGATCTGCTGGAGCTCTGACTGCTGGGGAAAAGCTTTTTGTACCTGCATGGGCAATGTGGCACCATTTGAACAGGCATTTCCTGATGAAAAGAAATACACCACCGAGCATCTAATCTCGAAGGTTCCTCTCAGATGGAGCGGTCCTGTGACAGAAAATGTACCCAAGACCCTGCAATGCAATTAGCATAGCATCGTCTTGATGTATAGGCTTGACACAGTAAAGTAGGGTACACAAGCACCATGTGGCTCAAATTCTGAATTTTATTTGCCTATCGGTTGAGCTACATGCTCGCTTCATTGAGCATGACAACCKAGTTTTAAGTGTCATTTAATTTTCATTTTGAAATATAATTACAAAGTGTTCACTGTAAGATATCACTCGTCTGCAAATGTGTCAAGATTAATTTGTGCTAGCTTATTCACAAGTGTCAATAGTTAATTACTGTGTCATCTCTAGATGGCTAAATGACATTCTAACTTCTGATTTTTTACAGTGTTCCTTTATGTTATTTTCCATTAGGGGATGAGTCCATATTCCTACATGTGGGCAAATACCCAAGCACATAAAATACCAGACGTCACAACTCATTAAAATCAACAGAGCATATATTGCTGTATATATCCTATAAAATATATTTAACTGAAAAGATAATTCTAGTAATAATGTCAGATTCCTAAAAACCACGCATTAATTTGGATCTGTCTGATCTAATGCCTAGGGGACTAGTGCATGGGATCATTGTTTTCACACTTTCGTTCAATGAGAACAGGACAGCTCTTTGGACAACCACACATTTAAAACAAAGAAATCAGTGGGGAAAAAAAAAAAAAAAAAAAAAAAAAAAAAAAAAAAAAAAAAAAAAAAAAAAAAAAAAAAAAAAAAAAAAAAAAAAAAAAAACCCCAAAAAAAAACCCAAATCCTTCGCAACCTGAACAAATAAATCAAACCTTACTTTCTGAAGATCTTTGGAGGTTTGAGTATGCTTAAGTGTTTTTGTACAATTATTTCCTTGTCAAAAAGAGAGTTAAATAATGGTTATGGTCTGGCTTATTTGTGATTCTTAAAATTACATCTCAGTGCAAGAAACAAGAATCGTGAAATCTATCAAATGCAATTTTTTCTGGGAAAGAAATTATTTGAACATCCACCCCTCCTTTTTTTTTTTCCTCAGGGTGCTACAATATTTCTGGAMAATACATGTAACTTCTGGTGCTATTTAAGCTCTTTTAACAAAAAAAAAGAACATGAAAGGAAACAGCACCAGGCAGAGCAGTGTTTACAACAAGCATTCTGCGTGAACCATTTTCACAGGTTTCTTTCTTGGAGCCTCACCTGTTCTTGCTGTTGGCGAGCAAGGTCCATTTGCTGCCGTTGTTTTTCGATTTGTGAGGCTGCCAGCTTTTTCTGCTCGTCGTGGGCAGCCAGGAGCTGCTCCCGTAAGCTGATCAGCTGGGTGATCATAGTTGAGAGCTGTCGCTCTTTTTCTGCCAGGCTTTCTGGTGTACCTAAACGGGCAGGAGAGATGGGCGGTAAATATGAGGAGGACAACAGTTACAGAGCAACATTTACCCCTCAAAAAATGCGTCATCACCACGCTTATTTCAAATACAACTTGGATATATTTTCTACTAATGAATCTCAAAAGAATGTAACACACAGTTTTGCTACGCTCTAAGCAGGGGAGGATGCAACAGAAATGTTAGCAGAAAAGATATAGAATATTTCCTTTTTTCTGACAGGGATTCATTCTGTATGTATCCCTATATCTTCTCCATCTAAATCTGCCGACTGTGATAAATACCTTCAGAGTTTATTAGACATAATTTTACCTCACTTTATGCATTTTGTTCTTTTTCAACCCTAGTATGCACAAATGTTAAAAGGAAATTTAAAAGATGCTGTTTGGTGGAAGAAGCAGTTTAAGAATTTATTGATCATTTCTCAAAAATACCCATATATCTAGTAGGTCATTTAGGTAAATGCAAGCTTTGGTTGTGGAACGTGTATTAAAAATGAGCTTTACTTGTCCCAAGAGAAATGGCTAACCTGAGAAAATAGCTTAAGAATTTTCATTTAACTTTCAAAGTTTACTCTACAGAGAGCACTTAATTAATATGAAACTACGGTACATTTATTCTTTGCACTAATGATGCTTAATGGTCTGTTTATGGGTAAATTGCATGGGTCTCATAAGTGGAGAGTAAAGGGTCCTTTTCCAAATCAATCTGAAAATATCCCCATCTTATGTAGGAACATATTTCTCTGTCAGAAACAGCAATGTCAGTTCCTATATCTGAGCCATACAATATGATTCCTTGTGTGAGTATCTCAGACCCACAGATCTGTAAGAAATAATATAATTACATCAAGGTAGAAGTTTGGGAATATTGGGAGAGGATCTGAAAGAGGTTTAGGTATGGAATTGGGATAAGTAAAGCAATTTAATGTTGTGYAGAACCAAAAATTAAAGAAAACCAGATCAAGAATTTGCCAGGTCTGTAGTCTGCCACAATGATATGAGAAGTGGCACAAAAGAGGGTATTCACAAACTTCCTTCCCTCTGTTCACAGTGGAGGACTGTGATAAAGAAGTCACAGGACTTTTGAAGAGGAAGAAAACGTGTGAGGAGCAGGACCTAGGAGATAATGGAGAAACTGTCACAAAATTATGACTCCACCTCCTTCCCAGGACTAAGGTGGATACCTTCTAGCGAAGAGAAGAGAGAGGCTGACAGGTTTCATAAGGAGAAGGAAGACAAAACAAGCTCCTGCCAAGACGGTGACAAACACATGATTCTCTACTACCTACACAGTGCTATGATGGGACCAGTATGATTCTTGCACAGAATTTCCTTTTGAAAAAGCAGCATACAAGGAAACTTCTGTTTGTAATTTCTTTATATGGAAAAAACAAACTGCATGGCTTAAGTCAGTCACTCTAGATAAAGCAAGCTCCCAAAAACAAAGGGTACCTGATTTTTTTTTTTTTTTGTATATCTATTAGTAGCACTTATCAAAGTGAAGCACTGGAAAATATTCAATTTCTTATTCACTATTAAGTGCCTTAGTTTTTAAAGTTTCCAACAACTTCCCTACCCTCTAATGTCTAATCCTTCAGTATACATGTGACACAGGTCTTCACAAAATAAAAATGTGTAACTTCTGTTGCAGCAGAAATTTTAGAAACTATCATTAGGGATTTCCTTAGTCAAAAGAGGTATGAAATTGAAGTTGAAGGACTATTATCCCAATCAACTCATTGCAAAACTTTGGTGTGATACGAGTGAACTGAAGCAATGAAAGAATTCCATGCAAAAAGCTATTTTTTGGAAGTAAGTTTGGGCAGGCATGTGGCCAGGAAAGTACCTGCACTGCAGGATCCTTTACCCTGCACTGAGATCCATGTGACATCTGTTTTATTATCTGCAACTTCAGTATAGACCTACTTTAACCTGGGTTATCAAATTTTGGAGATTTTTTTGCTTTGGTCCAAAGGTTATTTAGGTTGTTTTGAATACAACATTGCATACTGGAATTCATTTTCATGGGTAAAAGACTGTTCTGCCAAAGAAAAACTGCCCTGCCCGTTGTGACTAGAAGAGATCAACCGTTCCACCCACCTATAGCTGAAGCAATCTGCTGCCTCAAATTATACTTATTGTCCTCCACTGCCACCTGGGAAACAACAGCTTGAGACTTTCACATCTGTCAAGCAGCTTTGGCATCATAATGCAAGCCCCTGAGCTTGCAGTCATCAAATATTTTACACACCCAAAGCAGATATTCATCTCCCATGCCATTGCCATATTATTGTGTATAGCTTGTACTTCATAACATGAGCAGAAAACTACCACAAAGAGTGCCTGCTAATGCTGCAAAATATAGTTGTTTTGTTAGGATTTCTTAGAAACATTTGAGATAGTTGCCACAAATTTATAGTTTGTTTTTTTCTTTCTTTCTCAATTTCTTTACAATAGCAGGCAGAACTGTTTTTATTCAGAAATTCACAGTAATTGCTTTTCTTTCCTTTTCTCCCCCTCGAGAAACACATCTGAAATAAATGACCCCATTTAAAGTACTCTGCTCTTTAATTTGTACCCTGCTATGTAATCCAACAACAGAATAGAACTGATGACCACAAAATGTACATTGTGCTCCTGGAAAATCACGAGACCTCCACGAAACTGCAGGACACCTAACCGAGCACTGCTCGAGACAAGAATAAGCATAAGATGAGAATGTTGTTGTATGAAGAGTGTGTGTGTGGGGAGGGAGAGGTATAATTTCATTTTAGAGTGGAAAATCCCAACCATTATTTTACAGTTTAAATACCAATAAAAACCAACTTGCTTAGAATGCAGACCAGATTGAGCTGATCTGTCTGGGACAAGAGAGGTCATCAGTAGCTGTGTGCCATCATCATCTGTTTTGCATCCACTTACTGCAGCAAGCAATGAGATTCCTAAGCTCATTACCAGTAAATAAACTTCTGCTGCTGACTGAAAATATCTATAAATAAAATAAAAATACAGCTATSTGTAAAATGTATTTGCCATAAAAACAGATAAAACAAAAAGCTTAGTAAAAAATAAACAGTAAATATGCCAGCTMCCATAAAATATTATATACCACAGCTCGCTCTCTGTTCTAATCCTATTCTCTTACTCCAAAGACAGCAGTGCATTTTTTTCCATGGGGTCTTCCTTATCCCCAAAACACATCTGTCTTGAGTTTCTCTCAGATTTGTCAGGTGGATCAGTGCTCCCCAGGGCCTGCTCCATCTGAAGTATTTTAATTTGACTAAACACCTGATTTATTTTATCTCTCCGATGAGAAAGGCAGTTTGTCTTAATAGAGCCTGTCAGCCCACAGTCCCATTCACAGCAATTTACAGGCAGCCAGGGATGCTGGAAAAGAAGAGTGCTGTGATTCTGTATTTTATCCTCCTCCAGAAAGCACCTAAAAGCAGCTATTCACTGCTACTGCATGTGGCATTTTAGAACTGAATTAGCTTTTTATTCAAGTAACTACACTTGTTGTGAATAGCTTATCTGTAAAATTGCTACATTCACTACTGATTTTATTAACCTTTGGCTCTATCACAAAATGGTCTTCAGTTAGGAAAGACCTTTAAAATTGACACATTTTTCTTAGAGGCCTTTATTTCAGTGACTACAGATATACTGAATTTGATCCATTGACTCCCTTTACCAGCAGTATTTAAAATTTTGAGGGTTAGTGGAAAGCTGATAGTGTTTAAGGACTTCTTTTTTAAAATGAAAATGTGACAGTCTCACCAAAAGTTCAGAAAAAAAAATTATCATTTTTTATATTACTTTGATTATATATCCTTGCCTTTGTGATAATAATCTCATTGTATTAATATTTTAATTTTTCCCCATGTGATTATTGTTTCAATATTGTATTCTTTCTTTTGGATTTCAGCACAAATTGAGATAAAATGGTCAGATTGAAGAGAACTAAGGCATCAAAGAGAACTTTTGAGAAATTCTGGTCATAGGTCAAATCTAACCAGGAGAGAGAAAATAAAAAGTAGCAATAAATCTGCTGAAAAAGAGGGAAGAGTTCAACTTGTGGTCTAAAATTCCATTTAGAAAGAATCCTGCTTGTGGCAAAACTCTATCTTTTAAAACCAATTAGACTACTACACAATTTCTGGTACATAAAATAATGGAAAGAGCATAATGTATCTTACAATGCACGTAATAAAAACTCACAAACCTCATCCTGCATTTTATCTACCTAGATCTCTTTAAATATTGCCAAAAAAAAATTAAAAACTAATATCCTGTAAGTATAGGTATATAATATAACTAGAGCTCCTATATCACCTTACAACACTCCTGTTATCTTTTACTACCTATTCAGTCTGTATTCAAAKGTAGCTGCATATCAGCAAACACTGGAGGCTTTTCAGAGTTAAATTTGTTTCAGTCCTTGTGGCAAGCTGTCCTGAGGTAAAGGCAGGGTAATAACTGCTGGTAAGGGAAAAAAGAAAAAAAGAAGCAGCCATAACCAAAAGGAGACTTCTAGGTTTACATAGTGTAATTTAATCTCTCTGACACHCAGGGAAAGAAAACTAGATAAAAACACATATTCTATCAATAGAAGAATAGAATGAATCGAAAAAAAAAAATACCGGAGTCATAAATAAGCCAAAAATTTAATAGGCATGATCCATAGCTTGCTGAAGCAGGGTTCTTAGCTGTGACATGAAACTACTGTGGGTTCCTGAATGTACTTGCCTTAGTTTCCCAACATGCACACGAAGTAAAACACCACCAATCAAAGGTTTTTATGCCTGGTTAGTTAATGTTTCTGGAGTGCTTTGAGATCTTTGCATGGAATCTCTACACAGCTGCAAAGTATTATTGGCTCTCTTGAATTCTGTGATTAGTGTAAAGCATGACAAATATCATCCTTGTTTATGCACTGCATCTAAACTAACTTTTGCTCCATACATTTACAGGAAATACAAATTAATA